GGGAGTAAGTTTTGATATTTCGAAACTTTATTTTTTTTTATCGAAGAAACATTAAACTAATTGTTTCTTCTTTTTTTTTGTAGATTTCCCCCTTCGGACTTTATTGGATTGTGTAAGTTTCGAATTTTTCGAAACTTCAGTTTTTATTATTATTAAAGAAACGAACTTACCGTTTCTTTACTTTTTTTTGTAGGTTTCCTCTTCGGATTTTATCAGATCGGGTAAGTTTCTTTTGAAACTTCAATTTTTTTATTTAAAAAATAGGTTACTAACCGTTTTCTCCTTTTTTTGTAGGTTTTCTACGGATTTTTATCAGATTAGATGAGGATGATGGGTGGATGGTGGATGGTGGATGGTGTATATAGATGATAGATAGCTATATATTAATTTAATATGTAATTTTTAATAAAACGAATTAATAAAATTTAATTAATAAATTATTATAAAATTAAAATCAGTAATCAGTTAAATGTACAAAAATCGTTAATAAATTATTAGGTTTATTAACAATCGTCAATTTGATTTTACCGATTTGTTGCCAATTTTACTGATCGATTTGTTGACAAGTGGCAGGCATTACGGTGCAAATCGTTTATAAAATTAGTTGCCAATTTTTTTGGTACTGATCGGCTAAGGTCAGACCAAATTTTGTCCAACATTCGGCAATTTAAAATTTTGCCGAAATGGACTATTCCGACCAGTGAAAGCGTGCTGGGATTAGACGCTTGCCCTTCTTCAGTAGATTTATCTATTTGGTCTTTTTTATATTCCTTCAAATCTATGTCACTATCTAATACTTTGTTATTTTCCTTCCAGTTGAATATCACGTGGTCTCCTCTACTTCCTTCTTGGCCTTTACGCTTCCTACTACCGAAAGACTTAGTTCTTAAAAGCTGAAAATCTTGGAAAAAGATTAATCTTTTCAACCTAGCCCAATTGGTGTCTTCATATGGTACTATTTTATTGCCATGGTGACAACTTTAACTGTTTGGACGAATTAATTTTTACTCTTAGTTACTGGCTTGGTTTAAATTTATTTTGAATAATTTTGTTGTTTCTTCTAATTCTTATTTTCTTTTTACTATGCTTAATATTTTGCCTTTAACTATTACGTCTCCATCTGTTGGCCGTTTACAATGGGCTATTTCTTTTCATTCTCCTACCCAAACTGTATTCATAAGTCATGTGTATATCACTATTCAATCTCGTAATATTGCTATTTCTTTTATCAGACTCATCTTCAATTGACTCACCTGTTCTGCAACCATGCTAATCACTCTCTTTCTGACTATATATCCTTTTCCTTTATTCAGAACAAACGTCTGTTTGAACTATACTACTTTGAAGTTTTTTTATCTTCAACTATTTGCTATTCTCTTAAACATGATCGAAAATTCAAATATATTAATTCACCATCAGAAGCTATTTCGCTTGATATCTCCTTATTATACACCAAATCCCTGTTGTTTTGACATTTGTTTGGCACCATCTCGATTTCGTCTAATTTTCTTATTTCCCTTGGCATTAATCCTATTGAACTACTTTCGCTATCTACAAAAGTCTTATATATAGATGGCTCTTATATGCCTCTGTCTCCTAGTGCTCCCGTTCCTGCGATATCTTACGCTTGGATTGCATTAGACAAAGATAATATGATCTTGGAATATTCTTACAATTCTTTTTCTACTCTGTTTCCTTCAGATTTTCACTCTGAACTTTTTGCTCTATACTTTGGTCTTTGTTCACTTCACCCCAGATCCTCTGTTACTGTCAATACTGATTGTTCTTATCTGATTACTTCCTGATCTCGCCTTATTGATAATCCTTTCTCTTTTAGACTTTTGAAAGAAGATAATCATCTTATATGGATTTCTTTAAGACAATTAATTATGAAGAATAATCTTTTAATTTCTTTCAAAAAAGTTTTTGCTCATGCAGATGATTCTTTGAATAACCAAGTGGATGCCCTCACCAAAAACGCTTATTTCTCTTAGCAACCTTCTTTTACTCTTCACTCTTTCATTGATGCTTCCTGCATCCTTTCATTTAATTTCTTATCGATTGATACCAATCTTCACCAATTTTGCAAGCATATTTTTGAAGCACGAAATTTGCTTTCTTTCTGTTTTTTTACTTGCTATACTTCTTTAGGCCCTCTCTCTCTCTTTAACTGGACTGGCATTAATTTTTACCTTTCAAAGTTTAAAGACTTTGCCTTTTATAAGAATGGTCATCCTGAATGCTGAGCATTCTGTATCAAAATTTTTTTGGATCAATTACCTACTTTAACTTTTCTACAAAAGCGAAGACTTCAAGTCTACCTTTCAACCTGGTTATATTCCCAATGTAATTCTACTCTGGAAGACTTAGATCATCTGTGGACTTGTCCTTATATCTTAGCTGATTTTAATCTTAAGACACATCACGTATCCTTGGTCTCCTTATTTTGAGATAAATTGCTCAACTTTCTTGTGAAGCACCTTTCTTCTCTCTTACCAAGTTATATTGATGGTTTTCTTAACTTGAATTATTGGAATTATTCTTTGCCTTTCTCACAGTGCCTTTAGTTAACACAAGGACTTATTTCTATGTCCTTAACTACCTACCTACTTGTCTCTTTTTCACTTAATTTTATTCACAATACCTTGGCCTCTCTTCTGGATGAATTCCACTTTAAACTTTATGTGGAAATTTGGATTTGCCATTCCATCTTTTTTCATCATTAGGAAATTTCTCAAGAGATAACTGATCAAATCAAATATTCAAAAACTTCTTCTACTTCTAATTCCTCTCTTCCTTTTATCTCTTCTCTAATTTTGGGCACTTCTCTGGCGATAGTTGATTCAGATTCCTGAGTTTCTTGGATATCCTCTGCTATAATTCGAGGTGGATCTTGGATTTTACACTTAAATTTTCTGCGCCGCTTA